CATAGATTTGCTACAGGACAATTGTCCTTGATTTTACAGACTTACCAGTGGGAGAAAGAGTGACACTTCAAATCAAACAGCGGGGCAAAATTTATGATGCATCCATGTATAGTGCAGCAAAAGACATTATTGGTTAACGATACAATTTATGAAAAATGAAATAATGAAAATTAAATAGACTTTATGTGCAATTAATGTTAATGATTTGGATATTAATATTAATGAATATATTGTAATTGAACTTTGGATTCTACTTGGAGTTCTTTCTTAATGAAATTGTGATTTATTAGAACCTATTTGCATTCATTATTTCTTTCTTTTTAATGCTTGTAAAATGGGTTTTACACATATACCTATTTTCCTTTTTCCTTTATCTTTTATTTTTGTTTTTTCTCATATAAAGCCAAGCTGTGGAAATAGTATTTCTTTTTTACCCAAAATTTATTAAGTGGAAGGGTGGCCACCTAAGGGAGTATTCCATAACATTAATTGTTGGTTTTGTTTTTGAAAATAACATAAAATCATTACAATTTTAAAAATGTGGCAGTTGTTTTTCTTTTCAAGAACAAAATCAATCATGTTGTAAACACTTCTTGAATTTTTTTTAACTATTTTTTTAAAAATAGGATAGAAGGAAACTAAGGGGGCATTCTATTTTTTTTAGATTTTGAGGACTATTATCAAAATCTGACTAAGAAACCCATGTTCTTTTCTCAAATTTATGTGGGGATTAAGAAAAAGTCTATTTTTCCACGTTAAGTGATATCTATCTCGTAGGTGGGTAAACAACTTCTCCGCATAAGGGGAAAGTCACTAACACTTGAGTGGGACAAAAATGCCCTTTTTAATAATGAATTTTTATGACTATAATGGTCATTGCATTATTTACTTGGGAAATAAAAGAACATGGGTAAATGCAGTTACCCTAGATAAGTAACTTACCGAAAAGTGAACGAAACCTAAAGAGGATATATCAACATAGCCCGCCTTAACTCCCAAACCATTGAACATAGAGCTCTCCCTAATGCACTTAGACCAACCCAAAAAAATCAAAAATACATTTAACACTAACCAATCTCTAAGACATAAAGAACTAAGCATATAACTAAAACTTTACCTTGACTTGGCAACTAAAGACCCAAAAAGGAGGTTTCTTTGTTTATTTATTTACTAGTAATTAAGCACATGTGTTGCACGTGAAAATTTTTTCTTCACATTAATTACTTGAATTTTAGATATATTATAGTTAAGATAGAAATTGAAAATTAAAAAAGTAACAATATGATTAAAAATAAACTTAAATACTTATTATTCAATTATGACATCATGGTCTTTTGAATTAGTTTTAAATTATGGAAAATTATAGTCAGAGTCGGTTGTACATTTAAAATTTGGTTGCAAGTTCGTCCATAAACCAAAAAAACTCTAACAAACAGTTCTAAATTTCAAGTTATAAAAACCCTCGGCATGTCATCAGAGGGTTATGTGGCTATTGCCAACATGGGACTCTTAATCCATATTGGACACAACAAAAAACTTATATTGAAATTGCCCTTTTAATGTTGGGCGATTGGAAAATAAGAAAAGGGTTTTTAGTCTCTCTCTCTCTCTCTCTCTCTCTCTCTCTCTCTCTCTCTCTCTCTCGCTCGTTCGCTCTCTCTCAATCTCAATCTCCCTCGCACTCTTTCACTCACAGTCATCTTTGTTTATTCAACGACTATGTGATTTGAAAATAAATAAAAATGGTTTTTGGTTTCTATATTTGCGTTCTCTATATCAAATTCTCTCATTCTCTCTCTACCTAGCGTTCTTCCTCAATCTTTCTCATTCTCTTTCTCCCTTAATTTATCTCTCATCCCATAATTTCTATCGTTCTCCCTCAGTTTCTCTCCCTCTCCCTCTCTCGTTTTTTTTATTTTCTTAATTTTTTACACGTTTATATGGTATTAATCAGATCGTATAAAAGAACACGAGACCAACTTGGTATGCTTAAAAAATTATTACACCAAATTGATAAAATTCACAAGAAACTCTTGGCTATGACATTTACACCAATTGGAGAACGATAGAGATTGAGGGAGAAGGAGATTTTGATCGAAAGGGAGAGTGAGGAAGAAGAATGAGAAAGATTGAGGGATAACAATAGAGATAGAGAGAGAGAGAGGTTTTGATTTGGCTATAGACCGAAGCAGAGAGAGTGGGAGAGATAGAGGGAGAGGGAGATCAAGAAATGACTATGAGAGTGAGAGAGAAGGGACGGAGATCGAGAGACAGAGGGAGTGGAGAGAAACTGAAAACCTATTTTCGATATAGGTTTTTTGTTGTGTTCAACATGGAATAAGAGTCCCATGTTGGTAACAGTCACATAAGCCTCTGATGACATGGCGGGGGTTTTTATAGTTTGAAATGTAGAACCAATTTTCAGAGTTTGATTGGTTTCTGGACCAACTTGCAACCTAATTTTAAATGTACAATCGACTTTGACTATAGTTTTCTCTTTAAATTATATCTTTCATTTATATTATATAAAATATTTTTTACTTATCACACTTAATTTTTGTTTGTCTATGGTATCATTTTACTTAAACGACTAACCCACCATCTAAAAATAAAAATTGTTTGATTTTTAGGTTGACATTAAATTTTGTATTACATTTCCATCATTGGTAAAACTATTTCTTATGTATAAAACTTATTTTTGTTCAATATAATGAATGTACAATATTTTATTTTTTATAAATATATAACATTAGATATGTACCCAAAGTTTTCTCTTATTTTTTTTGTGATTCTTTGTATTTTCTATTATTAAAAATTTTATTATTTGACTACAACATCATTTAATTTCTAGGTAGATTTTGAAATTGGCTTTCCATTTTCATCATTAATAAAAATACTTCTTACATTTCATAGTTATTTATTTTAATTTTTTATTATTTAATTATGGCATTATTTATTAATCCATTTGCATTCGTTATTTCTTTGTTTTTAATGCTTGTAAAATGGGTTTTACACATATACCTATTTTCCTTTTTTTTATCTTTTATTTTTGTTTTTTCTCATATAAAGCCAAGCTATGGAAATAGTATTTCTTTTTTACCCAAAATTTATTAAGTGGAAGGGTGGCCACCTAAGAGAGTATTCCATAACATTAATTGTTGGTTTTGTTTTTGAAAATAACATAAAATCATTACAATTTTAAAAATGTTGCAGTTGTTTTTCTTTTCAAGAACAAAATCAGTCATGCTATCAAACTCTTCTTGATTTCTTTTAACTATTTTTAAAAATAGGATAGAAGGAAACTAAGGGGGCATTCTATTTTTTTTAGATTTTGATGACTATTATCAAAATCTTACTAAGAAACCCATGTTCTTTTCTCAAATTTATGTGGGGATTAATAAAAAGTCTATTTTCCACGGTAAGTGATATCTATCTCGTAGGTGGGTAAACAACTTCTCCACATGAGGGGAAAGTCCCTAACACTTGAATGGGACAAAATGCCCTTTTTAATAATGAATTTTTATGGTTAAAATGGTCATTACATTATTTACTTAGAAAATAAAAGAACATGGGTAAATGCAGTTACCCTGGATAAGTAACTTATCGAAAAGTGAATGAAACCTAAAGAGGATAAATCAACATAGCCCGCCTTAACTCCCAAACCATTGAACATAGAGCTCTCCCTAATGCACCTAGACCAATTCAAAAAAATCAAAAATACATTTAACATTAACCAATCTCTAAGACATAAAGAACTAAGCATATAACTAAAACTCTACCTTGACTTGGCAACTAAAGACCCAAAAAGGAGGTTTCTTTGTTTATTTATTTATTTTTGGTCTTACCTAAATTGAGTCATTGAACACCCACAACCCTGAAAACAACCTTTTATTGAGAAATTTGAACAACAATCCCTCTACTGGGAAATATATATTCCCTCAAGAGCGTTTATAAACAATTGAAGTGGCTAAGCTAAATGACTTACTACTACTTTGGCTTTTAGGGAATGGTTTATTAAGGAGGTCGTTAACTCTCTAATGGCTGAATAGACCCAAGAAAAGAAAAGAAGAGGAAAAAAAAAGAACTCTTGAATGGCCGAAAAAGACAACTATCAAGTTTTTAATCTAACTCTACTTTAAAGTGTGTTTTATGCCATGAATGTTTTGTAATAGGTGTTTATCAAAATGCTGCTATGTCATTGCCAAATCAACATTTTTCTGGTCAATGTTCATTTGTATGCATTGATATTCATAAAAGTAGGTTTTGATTTATGTATACACCAACTATTGAAAAAAACTTCATTTTAACATTTTCATTAACGATTGAACATTTATTCACTATTCCGCTGATGTAGCACCTAATAACACTTAATTGTTAATAAACAATTTATCAATTAATTTTTTCGATTTTGAAAACAAATCAAATACAAACATTTATTTAATAAATATAAGCTATACCAATTCATTGGTGACTCTTTTATTCTGGGGCTACCGCCTAAAGTCATTCGTGGGTCCCAGATTCACATGAGGATGGGGCAGTGTCAGTTTACGTTACCCCAACTGATTTCACGCATCCACACCTTTTTGAGTTTTGGCCTCTGCAAACCGGAACGGAATCTCAATAGACGCAAAATGCATCCTTTTCAATCTTCAATCCCAGAGATTCTCATCGTATGGCTATTTTTGAGAGGGACGGGCTTCTGATCTATCCAATCAAAGTCGCACGTCATCAAAATTATCATTTTCTTTGTGGGAATCAGTTCTTTGGACGATGGAGATTAGGAATCAGGAGCACAATTGTATTCAAAATTTAGGTCATGGAATCATTTCCTACTGACGACCCGGTTAACCAACCAGTGGTGACTCGTGAGTTGGAACGGACAGACATCCTCGGTAAACCGAGTCCAACCCGTGTTCGAAAAATAGGAAAAAATAAAGGAAAACAAAATTTGGAGGGGGCCCAAAGAAGAAATGGCCAATCAGCGATCGGTTGAGTATTTATTCCTAGACTTTAGAGCTGGTTTATAAATGTCATTGTTACGGCCTCCCAATTTCTCTGTTTCTGTGATTTCGAAGAGAAGGCAAGAGAGGAGGAGGGTCGAAATTCTCAGGTATACCTCTTTGTCTTTTGATTTGCCTCTTCCCCTGTTTCTTCTTCTCCTTCTTCCGTGTGGAGACCCTCTTTTGTTTTTCTGTTTTTTTTCCTCGTGGAATCTATTTCTTTTGTTTCTTTCTTTCTTCTACTTCTTCTCTCTATCTTAGACGATTTAGGTTTTCGAAAAACTCAGGTTTCGCGATGGCTTCCAAGCGGATCTTGAAGGAACTGAAGGATCTCCAGAAAGATCCTCCTACATCTTGCAGCGCAGGTATCGTCTTCATCGGAAGAACCATAAAGATATTAATATTAATATTATTTTATTTTCTTCTTCCTCCATGTTGATTTCTGTGTTCTATCATTCCTAGGGTGGATCTGGTGCTCGATCCGCGTGTCGCTTTTGTCGGATTTGTAGTGTGTTATTATTGATGTTGTTTTATTATTTTTATCGTTGTTGTTATTGTTTATTCATTTTATTATTTTGTATGTATATAGCGTTACTCTGCTGGTTTTCCTGGTTCTGGTTTGAAGTCTATTTAATATGTTGGGGAGTTGAGATGTTGCATAGTATGGATAGATTTCTGCACTAACTCTCAATGCTTTACATTGAAGCAGTTATACCAGATACAAGTATTTGAATAGGAGCATAAGGGTTTTTGATTCCAAGGCTTCTGGGGAGAATGGAGTTGTTCTCGAGTGAAGTTTTGAGATTGTTGGTTCTGCAATCGCTTTTTTGTTTGGAACGACAACTGAGCTTTCCAACTTCATGGAGAACATGATTAAAAAAGATAATTTTTTTTTTTCATTTCAAATGTATTTCGAAGACTTCCCTCTAACAAAACTGATTTGTTTGATGGACACGCTTATCCTACTCTATGCTTATTGGTGGTAAATAGTAAATTTTTCTGCATCATCATTGTTAACTAGCACGTAAACAAGATTTCTTTTTTCTTATTTTGGTGTATCGTTTTTTTTTTTTATTTTTTTCTTCTGAGTTTGAGAAAACTGGATCTTTATGAATAATTTCGTATCATTCTTTACCTTTACCTATTTATAGCACTATGGATTCATTATATACACAGAGAATAGCAGAGTCAACCTTTAAACAAATGAATTACATCACATCAACGGATATTGTTTTTACAGCCTTTTGAAGTATATAGATTTCTTAATTCTTTGTAGGTTCACATAATGCCTGTTAATGGATTGAATTGAATGTTTGAATGATAGGACTGTTTACCCTCCCTTTTGGAGGAGATTCACTTGCCTCTTGGCTAGATTAATTGAATGTTGGATAGATGCTATTTAAATCATCAATTTGATGGCAATCTTCACCACCTTCTGGTCAAAATGTGAATTGAAATGGGGTATCAAGTAATTGTAGGAATCTTGAAATATATAGATTGTGTTTGCAAATAAAGCTGATGTTGTTGGTGAAAATTTCATATAAAGTTATTGTTTTGATTTAAGTTAAGACACATGGTGCATTTGGTTGGTGGTTGACTTCTTTTTCTGTTTGGCTTTGGAACATGAAACCACAAATTGGAATTATTTGACACGGGTTTATGGATTTGGGACCACAAATCTCATTGTTCTAGGACCATAGATAAGGGTTCTCTGAACACTAGGAATTCTAGTGTTCTTAGCCAGGAAAAATAGTTGTCAAGGTGGCAAGGTGGCCATGGTTGGTTGCCTTGCTTAAGTGCCTAGCTATTTTTTATATGGCACTATGATTTTTATGCATTAATTTTTAATTTTAAAATAATAAAGAACATATTATTAAGCTAAATTATTCATTTCTGGGATTATATACTAGTTCTTTTATTATTTTCTTATTTGTTAGGGTTCAACCAACACACATATTGGTGTATGCTGTCTTGAACCGTTGAAGACCTAAAAAAGTGAACCAATAAGCAAGGAAGAACTTAAAATTTGTCCAATCAATGCATTTTTTATTCATGTTCTTCTTTCACCCTTTATTTTCTTCTTTTCCTAGGATAAAAACAGTATTTTCTGGATTTTCTTTTATATTTCCTTTTCTCATGAATATTTTGATTTTTTATGTTTTAATATGAATTTATACCTTTTTATGAAGATTATATATCATTATTAGTGAAATATGGTTGCTGGTGCTATGGCACCTTACCCTAGGATTCATGTTTTTTCTTAAAAAGAACATTCATCACCTAGGCAACAAGGCACCCCTGTCACCTAACCTTGCCTCGGCTCCTTGAAAACCATGCAAGAAGTGTTTTTTCTGATGCTAGCATGATGTCATTGGTGATTTAGTTTGTTTTTCACACACCAGATGATTGTGAATCTCCCTATTCTATGGTAATAATAAGTGCTTTTTTACTTGTATTATATAATATAACCAATATATTGGGCAGTTAAGAAACAGCATGCCCAAAAAATGAAAGGTAGAAATATGAATGCTCAGATGGATGAGTGGTAAAACTAGAACAGGGTCGTATATGAAGTCGTACAAAGGAACCTAAGAGCAATACCAATAGGTGATAAAATGAGAGAAAGTATGGGTGGCAGCATGGGGGAAATGTTTGACTAAGGAGATGCTTGCTTGAAAGGGAGCAAGCTTGCTGGAATATCTTTGTTCTCTGTGTAACAAAGATACAGAATTTTCAAATCATCTTTTTTTTTTTTTCAGTGTGTTTCCTCTTCCAGAGTCTGGTATCATTTTTATAAGGCAATTCCTGTTTTTTGGTATTGCATAGCTTCCGTTAAAAACCTCCTGGCAGGATGGCAAATGCAAGTTATGTCTAAGAAAGGGAGAGCATTCTGGGCTGTGATATCTCTAGTAGTCATCATCAGCTCTATGGCAGGAAAGGAATGTAGAATAGTTGATCATAAGGCTAATGCTGAGGAGGTGGTTATTAACATTTTAGTGGATCTCATCAAGAGTTGGATTTCAAATCTTAAATGTTTTGGTGGGGAGGATTTTTCATCTTCTTTTTTGAGAATAGACTTTTTTGGTGGTCCTTAATGGGTGTATATGGTGTACAGAATCTCTGTATAGCGGACCATTCATATTGTTTGCTTTGTATATATTAGTACAATTTACATTACCATTTTCAAAAGCAAATAAATAAATAAAATAAGAGAAAGTAGACTGAGATGGTTTGGTCATGTGCATAGAAGACCATCTACAGCTCCCATTAGAAGTGATCTTTTATATGTTGAAGGAACTAGAAGAGCTAGTGGCAGACCAAAAGGAACTTGGAAGTAGTAAGAAATGATTTAAGTGCTCATAATTTAATGATGTATATAGCACTAAATAGAATGGAATGGTGAAAGCTGATGTAATGTCCACATGACAAGTTAATTGGCCCAACCCACATAAATAGTACCATGTGGCAAGTTACTTGGCCCATGGACAAATTCATACAAGCATGTTCATTGGATCAGAGATCAATGGGGATGATTGATTTAGATCCACATTTTGATTGCTCAACACAAAAGGCTACGGAACACCACCAAATGGGCTGCATGGTTTAAGAAATCAATTTTCACTTCGAGAACAGTAGGAACCCAGTTTTTCAACCACCAACTTAATGTCACATTAATTTTGAGGAGGGCATATTGCCTTTTATCTGAGGGTGGGCCTTGGCGGCGCTGGTGCAGTGGCTGGGTTGCTCCATTGCAACCTGGGTGACCAGGGTTCAAATCTTGGATACAGCCTCTGTATGTGCCAGGGGTAAGGATGCGTATGTCTGTCCCTCCCCAGATCTTGCATTGGTGGGAGCCTTGTCCACTGTGCTGCCCTTTTTATTGCCTTTTATCTTGTTTCTCATAGGTGTATCAACTTCAATATGGTAAGACCTGGCTTTTAATCAATTTCAGTCTCTGAAAAGATCTCAAAATTTTGTTGGGTTTGAAGTCTTGTTGGTTGCTTAGATACACCTTTTGAAGTTCTACTCTGCTGCATGGAACCCATTACCTCATGTTGGTTCCATCTATCTAGGTTCTTGGGAGGGTTAAACTTGATATGGACCTTTGGCTTGCATGGCCTAAATTTCTGCCATGAAAAGATAAACTATTTTCATTCACTTGTGCATTAATGTTTTCATTTATTTTCTTAGGGATTGTTGATAATTCCTTTCTTAATCTGAACGTTTTCATTGATCTACAATCTATAGGACATTCATTCTAGATTGTTTCTCTAATGTATCCTTAAATTTTTATTAAAATTATTCTGATTTCGTTTCCTTCTCTAGTTAATGACTTAATAGTTTTATTAAATCCAGATGATTTTTGTTTTCTTTTGTAATTTGCATCTTTACTTATAAGCATGGAAGCTTAATGTAGTTTGTGTAGATAGGAGAGTCATCCTGCAGCAAGGATGCACATCCACAGATTTAAAGTAAAATATCACAAAACCACACCCTACAAACATAGGGAACATCAAGCTAATTTCTACATGGCAATATGAAATACTTATATATTCTCACCAATAAGTAAACAAGGACTTAAAATTTTATTTTCTTCTTCTTCCTTTCATTTCCTCTTATTCTTTTCCTAGGACAAAAGCAGGGGCTCTGCCCCTATATTTTCTGAAATTTCATTTCTTTCTTTTTCCTTTCATGAATATGTTGATTTTCTATATTTTAATATGAAGTTTAGACATCTTTATTAAAATTATAGATAATTGGTAATGAAAGATGGTTTCTAGATGCTATGGAACCTAGGGACTACCCTAGGATTCTTGATTTTTATTTTTTTTAAAAAATCCATCACCTAGGTGACAAGGTCCCCCACTGTTGCCTGGCCTTGCCTTGGTGCCTTGAAAACTATGGGAGCATAGTCTGATTTTTTTTTTCCCAAAAAAAGGCAATCGCTCCACTGTTTTGCCTGCTGATGACCATTCCCAAAGTGGTCCACTGTTCTGTTAGACAACTTCTTACATCAATTTTGCCGTCTTTGGTTTTAGGTGCAGAATTTTTGTCCATTCCAGACTTAAATTTCAAAAGAATTTTCTAAAATTTAGTTTTTTCCAATTTGTTGCATGTCTTTCCCATGTTCATATATGTGTGTGTGTATGTAAACTGCCATGCTATAGAAAATTTATAAAATACAACAAAAATGAAAAATAAAGGAAAATTAGGAAATTGCAAAAAAATACAGGATATGCAAAAGAGGAAAAATACAGAATGCACTAAAAATTGCAAAAGAAGCTAAAAACAAGAGAAACTGTGCCCGCTCATCAATCTTTGAATGAACATTTAGTAATTGTTGCATATGAAAGTTCGGAGGTCTAAAGTGTCATTGCATTTGAAGTACAGCGTGATGGTCTGTAGTAAACCCTATTTTCCATTTTTGCTGAGTCAGACTCCTGGACATGCAACACTAGCCATTACCTTGTTAAATTGTGCCTTTATTTTTAGTTTTGCTTATCCCATTCTGGGTCTGCAGCCTCTTATACTTGGGATATTTGATAAGTATTAAATACTTAAATAAATAGCAATTCTGACTGAACAATAAAAATAAAATCTGACTTATCATAATTCAATCTAAAAGAACTTTATTTTAACACTTCCAATTTTCTTATCCATGCATACTTTCATTTCAATCCTTTCATTTTTATTTTCATTATATTTCCTTTCTAATATCTGATGTCTTACTAATAACTTCTAGAAAACCTGGCAACATGCAACCAACCATCTGAGTTAGGATATGCAGAAGATCTAAAGTTTGTGGGAAAAAACCCATTTGGTGGAAGCTGATATATGCTACATGCTATTTAACTGAGAAAATAAAAATAATTCTAAGAGCTATTAGATTGATCTTTTTATTTGTTTAGAGTTGAGTTTAATGATGCAAAAGGTGCGCATTTAAGTAATGATTAGGCTGTATACCTATAGTTGGGGAGGACAGAGTAGCTGTAGGATCAACGTTGGCAAATTGGCATTTATATACCGCTATCATATGAATCTCAAGGTAGAATAGACACTTGTAATAAATGCACATTCAGTGAAGTATAGTAGTTCTTTTTCAATCATTATTCTTCATTTATTGTAAGAAATAAAAAAAGTGAATCATTAAAATGTGGACTGCATGCTACTCATGGAACTTGGTAGAAAAAGATGGCAGCAAGCACAGCCATTATGGAACTATCACCACCCATCAGGAAGGGGGAAACAAATTTACATATTTGAAATATATTAAAGTAGTATAGTGATCATTGTTAGTAGCTTAATGGAATATTTGACTAATAATTTCAAGTGCAATCTCTTTCTTGTCCTTTGTTCTAAATGAAGGCCTATTCTTGTAAGATCTAGATCTGCTTTTAGTGGATTGGTCGAACAAGATCCTTAGACTATCATTGACTGTTATACTGTTTATTATTGGATAGTTATCCTTGTCTGTGTTGGTATTCTATAGGTCCTGTTGCTGAAGACATGTTTCATTGGCAAGCAACAATCATGGGTCCACCAGACAGTCCTTATGCAGGAGGAGTCTTTTTAGTGACCATCCATTTCCCTCCAGATTATCCTTTTAAACCACCCAAGGTATTTGGCTAACAATAATTGCTTCTAGTGAATGTGAGAAGTGCTATCCTTACTATTTTACTAGAATATGTGTTTATGGTTTTGGTTTAATTTGTGGTTCTGTCCTAATCTTGTTAAGGACATTATTTTTTCCACATAAAAAGACATTATTTTGATTGTTTGTTGATTTAGTAGGAAATTACTAGAAATTGGACTGTTCTTTTTTTTGTTGTGTTTCTTCCCCAGTGAAATATTCTTCTCATAAAAGAAACTATTTTGGTCAGATACTAGTTAATCATCATTGGTAGAATGGACTGTGTAAGTTACCAGTTTGGTTGCATGCTCCTTGTGTCCTATTGGTTTGAGTACATACAACCTGCTTATTATGTCTTACAACCAAGTGTCCACTCTCGCTGTAGTGTTGTAAGTGTTTTTTCAGTTTTGCTTATTGTCAATTTTGTTCTTTATTTTTCATACTGAACTCATACTAAAAATTCTTTGCTAAACCATTTTACTCCTTCCAATCTATTGCCTCTGACCAGGCTCGGGTTTAGTTTACAAATCTGACTTTCCATTTGTTGGCATTATTGTGTTTTCTAGATCACTGATAAAAATGATGGATATCTAGATTGTTAGGACATTATGGCAAGAAATTTTAATACCCAACACTGTAAGGGGGTCAGTTGTTGACCTTTGGATACATTCTATTGCTGAATCTGGAAAACAGATTTGTAAACTAATGCTCGGTTTGTCTGTTTATCTGTCTGTCTTACCTTTATATATCCACCTCATATCACTATGGATGGGTTATGTAGGTCGCATTCAGGACAAAGGTTTTCCACCCAAATATTAACAGCAACGGCAGTATTTGTCTTGACATCTTGAAGGAGCAGTGGAGCCCGGCACTGACCATTTCCAAGGTTTGTGTTCCATATCTATTTTCTAGTAAGTTCTGAATCATCGGTAATGGGGTGCAAAATTAATCTCCTAGGTGAAAAAACAATATGATCATTACTAATGATCTGGAAAACATGATTGGGGCAAACTGCATTATGTTTAAGTTCTTCCTGTCCCCATTGTTGCTAATAGTTACGAGAAAAATTGTCTCTGTTTATTTCTTATGCTTACTTTATAAGCACCTAAGGCTGCTTTGCTTCCATTTAGAGGGTTGGTGCAAATCACAAGTTTGGCCATAAAATAGGCTTGGAATATAATTGAGATTTTGAAGATAAGAAAATTTTCCAACGGTGAAACAAATGAAGCCTAAAGAGTAGGAAAAGCCACAACCCTAATGAAGTAGGTTCATTTAATTCTTGACCATCCTTTATCATCAGTTAACTGGATGGGACAAATTCTTGTTTTGGTTATCAGGTGTTGCTGTCAATCTGTTCCCTGTTGACGGATCCAAACCCTGATGACCCCTTGGTACCAGAGATTGCTCACATGTACAAAACGGACAGGAGCAAGTACGAGTCAACCGCAAGAAGCTGGACTCAAAAGTATGCAATGGGTTAAGTGTGCCGTCTGGTGCATGTGTGGAGGGCTGCTTTCCTTTCTTGTGACTTTGGTCTTTCAGTATTATGTATGAAGCATATGATTTTGTCAGTCGTTAAAACTCTGACAAAAACAGAAGGTCTATATACTGCCCTCCATTAAAAATAACAGATAATGCTAGTTTTGATTGGTGGAATGTATGCGAATTTTATCAAGAACTTGATCCTTCTAAGAAGGCAACGGCGTTTCTGCGTTCCCTTTCCGCATTCTTGAGCCTTGAGGAAGCAAGAGATGAAAAACTCAAAAAACGTGAGAGGGCATTGGCTATTAATTATTATATGCCAGGTTCTTCATTTTGAAATTTGGATGGTCTTTCGTCAGGGGGATCATCGCTAAGGAATCAGCCAACGTTTTCATTGGGATTTTGGTAATGGTGACCTGGAACATGTTATGTGCCTTAGATCTATTTATCGAAAAATAGCTTTACCAAAAATGGTACATAGAACATAGAAGAGATTATTCAAACAAAGTTCTAGAATGAGACTCAGTTAAAGAGTATGTCATTTCCAATTTCCAACTACGTGGGATGGGTTACTTCATTTAAATCATTTCTTATTACTATCGTATCGTTTTCGGTTTATCCCTACGTTTTTAGCGGAAAATTTTGGCTGTTTGAGAGAGATTATATTTGCATGGCACATTATGGGTGTAGGGTAATTTTAAACTAATATTCTTTTAGCCAAAATTACATGCAGGGAATTGAGTGAGCTAATGGGTCATCTCCGGCAACTCCTAAACAGGGAAAAACTTTGGCTGTTTGTAAAAAATACCCTAATTTTTACTTCCCAACACCTTCAACTTTTAACAAACCACTTCTCATCGGGTGCTGCTGTTGATGGTCTTTCTCTTTCATGCAGGTTACCAAAACATCTTACTACTGGTCAGAAATATTCTCGTGATTTCATTTCTGATATTCTCCTTTCTAGTTTTTTTTTTCATTTATCTAAGATATGTATTTCTACGATACATATCTTATCACTTATTTTAATTGAAATAAATGCATTGCAGGTTTCAGCAGGCAAGAGAATTGCATTCTGATAGACTTCTTGCATTTTATACTTTATGGATGGCCTTTTTTTTTTATGAAAATCAGTATTCGTTATGTATTTATGAAATATATACAGGTTTCCTAGGCATACTCGTTGTGTATAACGATTTGCAGGAGAGTCCAAAATAATATTCCTTGAAATATCCTTTATTTTTACGCCTCTTAAAACCTTGCAACCTTGGTGAATGGCGATATATATATCCGCACTTCAAACCTCTTATTAGTGGGATAAAAAGTTTGTAGCCCAAATGGAAGACCCTTTTTTGTTTGGAATTGGAAGTTGTAAAGTTGACTGCTCAAAAAAGAGGGAAGCAAGAGAATTTAGATCATTCGATATCTACAATGGCTACTAATTGAGTGAGATTGATCGCTAATGAATTCAAGAAGGTAGAAAAGACGGTCACTTTCGTCAAATACATTCTATTTTCTAAACAAAAGAATCAGATTATTAAAATGAAATGGTGATAGAAGATGGATTAGTTCTTCTTCCTCATTAAATGCAATTCACAGTAAAATTAGAATCATGGTTTTCAAAACCAGACCGGACCGGACGGTCGGACCGAAAAACTGGGAACCGGTCACCTGACTGGTTCCATTTTCCCCCAAAATCACTTTTTTTTCCCAAAACCGTTGATTTTGGTCAGCAAACTACTGAACCGGCCAGTTAATCGTTCAAACTGTTCGAACCGTTTGAACGGTTTCAACTGTTTTTTCATTTTTTTTTAATTTTTTTGTCAGAATGGGCCAACCGTTTGAACCGATAACCGGACCCCTGACCGATTTGGTTTTATAAACCATGATTAGAATTCAAACTGATAATAAATAGTAAAGGGAAATCTATTAAATTACCTTAAATTTTAGGAAATGGACCAAAACTTCCACTGTTATTTGCAAAGCTCCTTAAAGTATTCTTTTAAGTCTTTTGACAACTGATATCCATCATATTGAAATGCATATTTTACCCTCCATTATTCTTAAAATTTTCAAATACATACCATGTCTTTGATAGTGTAGTAGTAGCAAAAGCTAAAATCGAAATCCTCAAAATCTCATGAATATTTTTAAGGGCATTGTCTATTATACTCTTCATATTCTTCAATTTTTTTTTTAAAAAAAAAAAAACTTTGCACAGTCACCATCCACCTCTCTTGTCTCCAACTCATTACAACATGTGAAGGTTATCTTTGTCTCGAATGGCCACATCTAAAGAACTCAAGGATCATCAAACTCTATGTATGAAGTTCAGAATTTAGGTGACAGAGGAAAGTGAGGGTTCTAGTGTGCACCTGGTGTGTCCATGATGGCCACACACACAATCATCTTCTCCGCACGTCACGGCATCTTCCTATTTTAGATGTGCTACTTGGTGCTGAAGCAAGTATAGAAATCTTATATAGAATTTCACGAGAGAGAGAGAGAGTGTGTGTACAATTTCGTGCGTATCTTGTGAAGGCATGGAGGTCCCTTTATATAGGCATTGAGGTCCAAGTGGTGTGCCCGAGATATTAGGAAATGATAGGTCTTATCAGTTCGTTATTTTTGAGGTACATTGTATCGGCGTTGCAATGATCCTCATCCGGTTCCTCCCAGAGTGGATAAAACTGGGCTCATCACTGCCAGGTGGGTGACGTGTCGTCTGTGCTTTGGAACTGATAGGTGAGGTGAGTGGATGAGGTCGGATACATCATGTAGGTCAGTACCCTGGAGGTCGGCCAACCATGCAGGTCGTCAGTTGCCCTGGTTGTGGGGGATAGGTTGGTCACCGGAGTCATTGACTTATGCCTTCGAGGTGATGTACTCCGGTCTGTTATTGAACGGTCCATAGGTCTCCCGTTGGTCGAGGTTCAATTCACAGAGAGCGGCTTAGGCCGGTCTAGTTGGATGAGGTCCGACCAAATGCGGTGTTAAGGTGTCATAAAGTGGTTTGGAGTTTCCACATAGCAAGATGTAATTGGAAGGCCAAATCACCTTTCATCAATAATTAATTATGAGGAATCAAGTTGCATTGTTATGGAACTATTATTAACTAAATTTATCTTCATCATTGCCTCAAATACACCCTCTTTTATTCCATATGAAGTGTAGGCATTTTGGAACATTTCAACAAGAGAAGCATAATAAGATTTTGCTCTTTTATGCGGCATTGCCATTTAATTGCCAAATGAAAATCGGGCTTATTACCCTTAAGAATTCCATACAATGGCTCACCAATAGAACTCCATAATATCTCTACATAACATTCTGATCCAAGCTTTTCTAGTTGTTTTCCTTTGGAAAGTATCTCATATTCAATATCTTCCAGCGTATCTATTCAGCATTGTATTCAACATCAAATTCATAAACGCCAACCAAAACTCCGATAACCACTGTAATTTTTGCTAGCTAAGTGTGAATAGAACACAGAGTCGGAGAAAATAATAGTTACTTGTGGATTTTGTTCTTCTTCTCTGCTTCTTAGTTTGTCTCATGTGGTTCATTCAGTGTGCCAGAGAACAGGGAGAGAGAGTACTTGTCAAAGTTCTATAGAAGGTAATGAGAAACAAGAGTCATGTGTAATCGCATGCATTGTTTTAAAATGCTTAAGCCTTGAGGCATGAGGCTTACGCTTTGAGGCGACGTGCAGAGACTTTGCGTCAAGGCTTAAGCCTCAAGCCTTAAGGCGTGAAGTGTAAAACGGCTTAAGCCTCAAGTATCAATGATTATTTAGTGATTTAATACAAAAAAATATTTTATGCATTTTATAATTTAAAATATACAGAAGAAGCACTTCAAGAATTATGTGCCAAATAAATAAAAAGAGTAAAAATGAAAAACCAATGGAGAAAATCAAGTTCTATGTTCTATTAGGCTATGCTTGGTTTGAAGGACAAGGTAGGGAAAGGGAGGGAAAGACTGGGAAACCTATACAATGTTTGTAAAGATTTTCCTATTTTTCCCTTCCTTTCCCTGCATTTTCCTTCAAACAAAACATAGCCTTAGTTTCTCTTGGGGCGTTTTTTTATGGATTTTGAGAGGGGGAAAGTTGGTCAATAGGATTTTGGTTCCCATTGACTAAGAATCCCATGTTCATTCTTTAGATTTATGTGGGAACCACCGAACCAAGGAAAGTTTATTTTCCTATCACTTACTCGGGTAAGTGATACCCATCTCCTAGGTGGGTAAATAAGTTTCCCACCTGTGGGGAAAATTGCCAACACTTGAATGAGACAAAAATACCCCCTTTTAATAATGCATTTTTATGACTAAAATGGTCATTACCTTATTTATTTGGGAAATAAAAGAACATGGGCAAATACACTTAGTTGGATAAGTATTTCCCAAGAAAAACTTACCCAAGTAATTGCATTTTCCTGGGTAAGTAACTTACCGGTGTTTTAGTGAGTTCAATGCAAAAAGGGCCAATCAAATTCTTAGTTTCTCTTGGATATGTCAAGTGGGATTTTTTTTTCTAATTATTCTAAATATAGCATCCCAAGTTTGTTATTTTTCTCATTTCTTTTCCTAATGTATTTTTTTTTATTTCTATTGATGTTTTTTTTTTTGCATAGATCAAATTAACTAGTTGTTTTCTTTTTTCTAAATTATTGAATGACCATAAATATAATATCCAATTATATAGATGATTCTTCATATGTTTTTTTTTCTTCTAAATTGGTTATTTGAATTATTTGAGAAATTTGCATTTTGAAGCATGATATGTAAAATGTTATTATTTATTTAATTCTTAAATGCTAAAACTTATTGCTTATAAACATTTATTTTATGGATATTTATACCTTATATCATTCTAATTTGGTATATTATATATTATTTTTATCAATTTATAAACTTTAATTAATTTAATTCTTAAGCTTTGGGGCTTACGCATGAGAATGGGAAGTGATAGTATATTAAAGTTAGGGGAATGTTGGTCAATTGTCAAAAAACTTAAAAATACTTTAAGGGATTTTACAAACAATAGGAATATATAAGTCCATTTTCCAATAGTTTAAGAGATTTTCCCAAATAATAATGACTAGACTTTAGATTTCATTCTCCCCCCAAAGTTTTAATGAAGGCTCTTCTTATTTGATGTCAAGCTCATATGGATTATTACTAAATCTGAAGGTGTTGTGGCAGCAACCTCAAACTGAGCTCCCCTCCTCACCATGCAT